AAACAAGCCTGGAATTTCTCGAGGGATTAGGGGTTCAGAAAAATGTTGCTAGAATAACATACTGAAAAGTCTCCTGAGAATTCCCTTGTGCAGCGCGAGCCGGCCGTGCGGGACAGGAATCCCTTCAATCACGCGCCCACCACGTAGCAGTCGTTTTTCCAGAATCCAAGATCGTGCGTCCAAAAATTTTGCCCCATTAGGCGTTTTTCCCATAACTCTGGCTCCAGTCGAGCCTTAGAAACATTGATGTAAATGTATAATTATATGTTTTAATGTTCCCAAGGAATCTACTTAGCGATTACTTTTTGTGAGCGTTTCAAGTGATGCAAGCTACCTTAATCCAAGATTGCATAGCGGATTAGGCGATCCCTTTACACTCTACCCCGCCAAACATCCCATGATTTTTACAAAAAATGGAGTAGCAACAACTTAACAACCTATCAAACATCAAACAATAAACCAAGCTGCTTCCAAAACGTACATCCATGACCATCCGTTGTATCATTCTTTGCATATACCTGAGAACAAGGCTACATTTCAACTGTGCAAAATATCCTATTCAAAACACTTCTAAATATACATCAACCCTTCACAATACTGAACAGCCAGCATGACACGCTTACACATAATATTGGTACCTCGTCTTCAAAATTCAGTGCTCCAACAAACCAAATACCCACTAGCTACAAGTTACGACCACAAACTTGCGTATATTTCGAGCACAAACACCAGCACTATAGCACTTAGTGCCCTGACAAACATAACTGGTTCTCTCCTTAAAGTATGCCTACCTTCAGGAACGCGACAACTTTCAAACTAAACTTTCGCATACTTTTATACAAAACATCTAGAAATTATGCATACCAAAACTAAATATTAATGTTATTATAAAGCTAGGAGACTTATCCTAGTCTCGCCTATGAAAACCACCACAGACATTTGATGGCCGGTAACCGAAGGTCTATGAACAGGCACCTGACAGCTACCATTTGACATCAGCCCCTTTCTGCATCATCAGTCACGAGCTGTTACGTTTCATTCATCTATGGGTGCTTCTAGCGCTGGGCCTGTATTGTTGCCCAGGACTGGCGATGCATTGCTGCACATAAGGCGAAGAAGAGAGGCAGCAGAATAAGGCGCAAGCTTCTTAGCCAGCTGCATGTCATGTTGCTGCCATCCTTCCTGTGCTGCATTCCACAAGGCACCATGTTGAGAAGAACGTCAGGGGCCAAGCAGGGATGTCCATTCCACAGCGTGCACCTAGACGCCATCTTGCAGATCGGCCAGCCCCATTTCAGTAGGAGGCCAGGCTTAGCTTGTTGCCATCCATTCATCGAACAGTTAGTATATGTCCGGTATGAAATGCTGCGTTGGCTGCCGCACTTGTTGGGGTAAGCTTCGCGCGTTGAAATGAAGAACCTAATGAGCTGCGGCCCATTGCACGCTTGTATGCAACTGTTGCGATATTCATCCAACGCTTCTCAACTTTGTCTGCCTCCATACAGCGCTAAGGATGAATTGTCTCCGGCTCGTTTCACCTCTTCGTGTGCTGCTTCGCGGGCACCGCGCGCCGGCGACCCGTTAGTTGGTGAATATATCAAGCCAAGTCATATTCACCCTTCTTGACTGCACCATGTTGAAGCCTTCCTCGCTTGCGCCCTGACGATATATTGCAGATTACTGTATCACAGCCGGTCTACAGCGCTGCAGAAACATCAAGTCGAGCTCTAGTTTATCAATGGTATGCTGAATGTCATGAATGTCGTAGCCATCATTACAGAATTGCTGCCGCAGCACAACATTGTACACATCTGTTGGTAGTGTCTACCCCGAGCCACCAACATGACAAGTAGGTCTGTGTCGTGTACCAGCAAGAACAAACCAATTGCTGCTTCATGACTCTGCTAGATCCTAACCGCTGTTGAGACAATTCAGTGTGTCGCACTCTGCCTCTGCCTTGCTTGACACGTATTCCAGATTCAACATTTTATCGCGTGGCAGCTTGGAAGAACTTCATCTTGTTGTTGCTCGTTCAGCAAGGAATTGCAGCCTGGGTTGTAGTAGTAGCATGCATCACCGGCGTATGATGTCTCTTGGAAGTGTTTTTGCTGCACCCGTGCCTCTGCTTCAGCTTCCTTTTGGTAAGATGCCTTCCCCATCATCCGTCAAACACACGGTTGTTATGCAGACCTTCCGTAATGCCTCAGGCAATGTACGAATGTAATGACTGATGCACATCAGCATAGGTAGCACGGTTTAGGCCAGACACACAGATTGGAGCAAAGTGACCCACCATCTACAACATAGATGCAATTTTCAGGTAGGACCTGGTTGGTTGCGTGAATTCTTTCAACAGAAGTCCAAAGAACTCTTTGTTGCTGTTGTTCGAATCACACATCTTGGGAAGAGCAATAACGGTGGCTGGGCAGGCAACGTTTCATAACGCAAGAAGGATTTCATCTACTGAGCTGTTGTTCAGAAACACATGTGATTCTATTGAAGAAGATAGAGATGCGATTTCACTTTACTTGCCTGTCCTCTGACTCGCACCCATTCTTTCTCTTTAGCCACCGCATCGTCTTCACTTTGGTCATTGCCGATGTAGAGTAGCAGTGATGTCTGTTGAACCTTTTTCCCTGACCATTTCTTGATGCTGCCGTTTTCACCAATTTTCGTACAGCATTGTCAGCAGCTTGACCAGATGTTATCCGCAACGCTCCGGGTGGACAACGTGGACACCAGTTGATCAGGTTCCATAGCCCGCTAAAATGGTGGATGTGCTTCCAGCCATCCAAGAACACACACATCGATGCTTGTTACTCTCTCATACTGGGTACTTGTAGCAACATGCTTTTATTGTTGCTCTGATGTACAGGTGTGTACTCTGTAAACTCAAGCTGCATCACAGAACGGAACACCAGCGAGGTAGTGCATGGGCCCATTTCAGTCACGTACTATTCCGGTGATGCCCTACCATGTGTCATTTCCTCCAGAGGCTTCTTCAGCGACCGCCATTCAGGAACTGTTCAATGGTCTGTATCTGAGAAGTTACCACTCGAGAATGAGTCTCTGCCGCACGAATGGTCGAAGACCCCTTCTCTGTGAATAGACTCGCTACTCATTCAGTCGCCATGGTTTTCTCCAAATCATCCATCTGTTGTAAATCACAACCTGGCCAGATTTGGCATTAAGGGTAGCATGTCCTGCCCAGCATGAAAATGTCGGAATCATTTTCCTCACGCAGGCTAGAGATGGAGCTTCCAGTCCCCTGTCCTTTCAGCTCGAATGAAATGTTGTAGCAAGAGCCACTTGTTGGATGTACTGCTACCCACAGCATTTTACCGGTCCTGCTCTGACTTGAATATGTTCAAGGAGTTGCTTGAAATGATCTGGCTCAACTGCTCACACACTCCTCCTCTGCCCTACGTCGGTAGGCAGCTTGCATCATGTTAAGAAGGCCTTGCTACAGGCCTGTTATGAGTTGTCTTTGTGTCAACACTACTTCAAGTGTTGCCTGTGCATCTATCAAGGACACTTATGAGAGCGCACGTCGACGGATATGAGCACGTGCGGCGCGCGCGAAAAGGCCATGTCCAGACATCATATGCTAGTATGGATCCTTAGCATAGACTGTCTCCCACAGTTCTGCCATCCACTTCCAGTCATTATCTGCCCAATGCCTTCCCGAGATAGGACCATGAGAAGATGGAATCCTCCGAGACGAAACACCACTCATATCTGTCAAGGATCTTTGCTGCAAGGAACCAACGGCTCACAATCTCTTGCTGCCTTGATGCTCACACATGGCTGCATAAAACGCTCTACGGCACACTGTGTCCTCAACACCCATGATCCTTCCTGCCACTGTCGGTTGCTTCAAAGCTTCAACGCCAGTGTATATCGTGCCTCAGATTTGGAGGGGGTCAAGATGGCATTGAATGGGGAGAGTTTCAATTCTGGTTCGGCCTTCATATCTCATTGCCTGCATCGGCAACCTTCCCCAAGCTAACACAAAAACGTTCACATAACGTCTATTTTAAGCGTTAGTTTTGCGTTTGGAATAACGTTATACACAGACGTTATAAATTACGAAATTGCTGTCGGGTTTTTATAACGTTTTTATAACGTTAAAAATAACGTTTTTCCTTAACGCTGACTATACTTCGAAAATAACGTTATTGTTCGTGGTTCTATAACGTTAAAAAAACCCGACACCCCCAATACGTTAATATAACGTTTGCTATTTACGTTTACTATTACGCTTCTTTTTTTACGTAAATATAACGATTATTGCAACATGGTCTTATTAACGTTAAAAAAAAACGACACAATTACGCTTAATATAACGTTTGTACTTTCACGTTTACTATTTACGTTCTATTACGTCTTATATATAATATATATATATATATAATATATACTATATATATGTAATGAAAACCAAAACATACTAACAAAATGCAAAACTCTAAGCAGTGTCTTACGCGAGCTGAGCATATCTACACGTTAGTGCGAATTGGTTCTTACGACTATAGACAACCTGCGCACAGTACAGTACTGCAATCACAGCCACATTTTCTAAAAGGTTAAAAATACGTTTAATCAAGTTTAAAAAATACAAACTTACAATCATAAACGACATGATTCTTACAAAACTATATATACTACTATATATATATATATATATATATTTATATTATTCAATTATCAAATCAAAACATCAAAGTTTTGTAAAACTTTCTAATGAAATATTTCGGCCCTATCCTAATCGCAGATAATTTGCACACATAACGTACAATACAAGTGTTAATTTCTGAATACCAACATTCCAGATAACACATTAATCATATAATACTATTACCACATATACATATTGAAATCACGCAAACCTTCCATATATAATATTTTTTCAGAAATGAAATTAAAAGACAATTACAATCAAGAAGCTAATAAATACCTACTATACACTAGGAGCTGAGCTATAATAAAGGTATTACTTAGCTCTTGCTTAAAAATACTAGTGGATAATCTGAATAAGCATTCTATGCTAACATATTATATATTACATAGATAGATAGATTAGATAACACAAAACACATCTAATTGTATCCAATTTCTCGCGTGTGTATATATACATAAACTTTCTTTTGATTTTATTTCTCATCACTCCGCATCTTATGCCTCCTCTACTCTTTCTCTATGTGCTATCTCGTACTGTGTGCGTGTGTGTCTCTCTCGCACCTCTCACATCTTCCTCTATCACTGGTGGTTCGGTGATGGAGATGGCTTGGTATCCCATGTGCAATGCACTCTAATCTTTTCACAGGAAACAAACGTGCCCAAATTTGTACGTACGCAGTGTATATCATACATGAATATCTATAGTCTCTCTCTCTCTTCTCTCTCTCTCTCTCTCTCTCTCTCTCTCTCTCTCTATATATATATATAATACATATATCACTAACCTATATAATATATACCTATCTATACTCACTATTCATGTAACCATCCACTCTGTTAATCATAGCTCATAAAAGATTTCTGCCAAATAACTCTGCGACTGTGAAACTACCAGAACTAAAGACGGACCATTTTATTACAGCTATAGGCAGGTATAGGTCTATCTAATACCTTCAAACTGCTTCACTAAGTTGTAACACTATAACATTACCTCACTCACACTGACTTTCTAGTCAGCGAGTCAGCTCCTCAGCTGCGAGCATGACGGAGTCAGCAAGTTCTCATGCGAAGCACACTCCTGTTCATGTTCCAAAAAGAGAACAGCGCCAGACCAGCTATGAATACCATAAAATCATTGTAGGGCCCATCGAATCCTGCTCGGTAGTGGTCTTCGTCACTCACATACCACGCGCGCGCACGCAACGCACGCACGCACGCCACGCACGCACGCACGCACGCACGCCACACACACACACACACGTACGCCATGCACGCCGTCTGCCGCGCGCGCGCGCGCGAGACTTGCAGTACAGCCTGCCTAAGCTCTAGAATCTATAGCCCTTTGCCAGCCTCGCACGGACTGTCGGCGCGAGCAAAGGGCTATAGCCTTCTCAGCGCCATACAGTGCCTATACAAATCAACCTGAAATCGCGGCCAAGCCTAGCTTCGGATCCGGCAATATTACTTCTAGCTATCAATTTTCATTGAACTTAAACCAATATGATAACAACAATTACGGGCTAAACACCAGAGATATCGTATACAATATTAAATAACTATTATGGGGAGTAACTACAACATATATACTTAGTACCCTTGGTCCACTGCCAGTATACCACACTTTGCTGACTCGCCTCTTATCATCCCATTGTACGGCGTCCGTTATGAGTTACGCGCGCTATGCCGCAGACTGGCTCCTCGCCGCTTGCAGCCTGCTTCAGCGCTTCATCAGAAGCACGCCGCTAAATCAGGACGCGACCAGTGTCAGACTAGAGGTAATCAGCGCCGAGCGCATTATCGCCGCAGTGCAGAGTGCGAGGCGCCGTTATCGCCGAACGTACGTGCCAGGGCGGTTCGGAGTATGTGTTCTGTGCTGTCCCATGCGTGGCTTCCACATATCACAGCGCGGCTTGAGTGTACGACCAACATGTTGCCGCCGCGCGCGCGCGCGTGCTGTGTGTGCTGTGTATTTGTACGTGCGTGCGTTGCGTGCCCGTGTCACATGGTGTTTGTGTATGTGTGTGTGCGCAGCGGCAACAAATTCCACGCGCCAAGCCAAAACAAAACACACCCAACCACAGCTCACCCAATGCCGCAAACCACACCGCAGCCCAACAGCCAGCACAGACCACCCACCCAAAGAGCCAACCGGACGCCCAGCTACACACCCGCCACGAGGAAGTGAAAAATGTCCGGGTTTTAGCTAAAAATCTTGGACTATGTATAAGAGGTGAGAGATGAGAGAAGGAACGGATATGTATAGAGGCCAGAAGGTGAGGCTGCACGGCATCATGTCGTAAGACACAGGCGAGGGTTTACGTTCACACGTGGTAAGACCTCCTGAGGAAGGTAAGGCATCGTGCTAGTATAACATAGGTGTCCCTTGCTTTACCTGTATTGTTTGCGCTGCTCGGTCTTCTCCTGCTGCAGCTGGTGGATGCGTAGCTGCAGGCCTCGCAGCGTGGCGGCGTCGATGACGATGCTGGGCTGCAGGTCGGCAGGAAGCTGAGCGTGAACGACGTGCTGGATCTGCTCCAGCCGCAGCGTCACGACTACATCCAACTCATTCAGCTTCCTCTGCTTCTCCAGCTGTGTGAGAGGGGAGGGGGGATGAGAGAGATGAGAGAGAGAGAGAGATGAGAGAGAGATAGATAGATAGAGAGTGAGCGAGATAGATAGATAGAGAGAGATAAGAGGGAGAGAGAGATGAGAGATAGAGAGAGAAATAAAGGGAAAGAGAGAAAGAGAAAAAAAGAGCGAGAGAGATAGATGAGAAGCATGCAGCAGCAGCAGCAGCAGCAGTAGTAACGGCACACAGTGAGATGACAGTTACCAGATAATGTATATGCTTTACTAGTATAGGTATGGGATGACTAGATGGATGGAGGGACAGATCTAGATCGATGACAGACTTTCACTAGGAATACTTATCTTACTTCCACCCACTCTCACTTTACCTGGAACGCCTCTAGGTCAGATTCCTCTGCATGCAGCACTCCATCTATGATCTTCACTTTCTTCATGATGGCTTCGTGTTCTTTCCGCGTCATCTCACAGCTTCGTTTCTCCTCTGTCACAGCTTCCTCTATGTCCAGCCTGTGCGCACGAGCAGACACGTGGAGAAGCTAGACGCTGGCTAACACTCACTAGCTATTAATTGCGTATGAGCGGAGGCAGTGACAGAAGCTAGCTATAGTCCCTGGCTAGCTCTACCGGTGTAGCCCCTTTGCTCCCGCTAACACACTCGGTATTTATTGCGTATGAGAGTAGCTAGTCATTGGCTAACACTAGCTAGGTATTAATCAGGTTTTGTTTGATGTTTATCTACAGACACGCCACACGCACCTGTGATTGGCAGGTAACTACAGACACGCACCTGTGATTGGCAGGTAACTACAGACACGCACC